CCCCAAAACCCCAAAACCCCAAAACCCCAAAACCCCTAGATAATAAGTTAGTATAGAACAAAGTTATTAAATATGGAGGATTGTAGAATAACCTTTTGCAATTGGACGCTTGAGAGGATCAAAAGCCTTGATATGTTCAAGCAGTCGGTCAACCTTACTTTTCGAGGGAAGACTCATTTCTCAAATACTTTGGGCGCCCTGTGCACTCTCTTAGCTTACCTAGCTTTGCTTGGCTATGGAATAGTGCTTTTTAGAATAATGTTCAAGAGAACCAATGTGAGCTGGAACCATAACTCAGTGTATACCAATTTGGCAGAAGACCATTCTGGACTGATCTGGGACGAAGAAGATCCTGAATTCAAGATATTCTGGTCAGCATTGAATGTAAATAATTTGCCAGAGGGCTATGAAATGGATCAACTAGGAATTTCAGAATTTTATACTTTCTCTTCAGACAATAAAAGTGATGCCATTCTTAATTTCAATACAACCCAGATAGATAATATAAGTTGAGATAACAGCTTTTATACCGTTCATGACAAAATGTATCCAAATGGCGAAGTCACTCCTAGTTGACCTCAACTTGCAGGCAAGAAATTGCAAGGACGTTTTGGTTCGGGACAGGATTATAGAGAACTACAATTTAAATTTGAGCCATGCTTTGAGAATGAAGATCGCCCATGTGTTCCTCAGAATGAAATGGCTTCAATACTCGAGAGATCATCTGTAATGATTCATCTAATGAACAGATACGTTGATTTGAACGATATTGACAATCCAATCAAGAAGTTTTATGATGATGAAATGTTCTTGGAATTTAAGCAAAATAAAAATGTTGTTGTTGAATTGAAGCTGAGGCAGCATGAAGTAATTCTGGAGGATGGTCTGTTTCCAACTTTGTCAGATCCAGACCCAATTTACTTCAATAGCATTGAAGATTATTCTTACTCTGAAGAAGATGTAGAAGATCATGGATATTTTTGGGGCGGTATACATGTTAGAATTAGAAGGGACAGCCAGATAGACCAGCACAGAAGAAGAGTCCTCAACTTCTTAGAAGTCACAGGAATTCTAGGAGGTCTCTTTGAAGTCTTCGAAATTGGATTTGGAATCATCATTGGACTCTACTCTTCTCATATGTTTAAGAAAAGCTTATATAATGATATAAGAAAGTATGAAGAAAAATTCGAAGCGATGGAGAATTGCATTTCTAAATTGGAAAGCAAAATTCAGAAGAACAACCAGAGACAGCAAGACAACAACTCTAGTTGAGTTGCTCCATCTGCTAAGCTTAGGCGGCAAAGCCAAATAAATTTTAGAAATATAAACTATGAGCCAGACAACGAAGATGAAGAACTGAAAATTCTTGAAGAGGTTAAGCAAAGAGTAAACAATGAAGAAAGTAAAGATTTCAACAGTAAGACTTGAAGTTTTAACATTGTGCTTTAGTGGAGCCTGATGTCGTTGAAGAAAGAAAAATAGAGTATACTCGCCCAAAATTTCCAACATTTGGACTTCCTGCATTCGGACTTCTAGCCCAGGCTGAGGAGGATGAAAAAAGTGATGAAGACTTCAAATAGCGCAAGATGTTGCCCAAGTTTCATGAAAAAATCAAGAACAGATATGGAAGTAGAAAGGATGAAGGAATCGCTAGGCTGTCTAAATATAGTCTATATGATCAAGGTTCTTCGAAGACAGACCCAATACCTCCTCCTCAAAGACCATGACTTCCAGACCCACCTCCAGTCCAACCCAGCCCTCCACTTCAACTACACCTCCTCTCCCTCCTTCGAATTCCTACAGCCACCCTCAGAGGTGACCCTGTCCCGGTCAAAATCCAAACGGGTCCACCCATACTGTGCAGACCCTTAAGCTTTAAAATTTTAAAGCTCAATAGGACTAGTTGGGAGTGGGGTTTTGGGGTTTTGGGGTTTTGGGG